ACTGCCCGCTGGTGCTCGGGGGCTGCTCCCGATGCCGTTTTGCCATTTATTCCTATTATTATCTATTCGAAAGAAGAGGAGGAGGAGGGGGGGGGTTTGCTTCCCATCCTGACTTTCCTTGTTTGTTGTTGCGTTTTTTTCACACCCCAGAGACACCATGATTCCTGGTAACCGAATGCTGATGGTCATCCTACTATGCCAAGTCCTGCTAGGAGGTACAAACCATGCTAGCCTGATACCCGAGCCCGGCAGGAAGAAAGTTGCAGAGCTTCAGGGACAAGCCGGATCTGGACGCCGCTCTGCCCAAAGCCATGAACTCTTGCGGGGTTTCGAAACGACTCTGCTCCAGATGTTTGGGCTGCGAAGGCGGCCTCAGCCCAGCAAGTCAGCCGTCATTCCTAGTTACATGCTGGATCTCTATCGGCTCCAGTCTGGAGAAGAGGAGGAAAACCTCCAGGAAATTAGCCTGCAGTACCCTGAGCGATCGACCAGCCGGGCGAACACTGTGAGGAGCTTCCACCATGAAGGTCAGTGATGGGAGGAGGTAAATTCTCAGCCTCGGTAGCGATTGGGATTTCCTCGTGTTTGGACATTCGCAAATGCATTTAGAAGCAGGATGTGCCCGGTCCTAAATTTATGAGAGGAAAACCACCCCCCCCCAAGCCTGCTGTGTGGGGGTGACAGTTGTGCTGCTCTGTATTTTTTCTGGCATCCTGTGCTTAACCCGAGCTTGACCATATTTTGAGGTGCTTTTGCTTCTGTTGACAACGAGCGAGTTTCCTCCGGTGCCTCTGTCTCGGGGTCACTCCCTGGGCTTGTGTGGATTTAATGGCTTTGGATCGGATGCGGGAGCAAAGTGAGGGCGGGAGCTCGCCCCTGGTGTGTTTCTTTTGAACTATCAAAGCAATTGCTGCCTGGTTTTGCTCTTAAGGAAAAAAAAACCACACATCCCCGAAAAACCCTACTCGAATTTAATACTTACAGCTGTGTGTTTATAAGGTTTATTCAATAGGCCCTTGTAATCTGATCCAAATGTTTCCTAGCGGATGTTTCTTTTCCAAAGTAAATCTGAATTATTAATCCAGCCGCATCATTACTGCGTTGGAATTTGCTTCTCTTTCTCCCCCTGCCCTCTGCGCCCCATAACAAGGCACCTCTGTGCTCCGTGGTGCTGCACCTCGCTGGGGAGATCATTTTGGAGAGATTGGGAAGGAGTGGGGGGAAGCAAAAGGGGAAAACCCTCCCCGAAAGGGGAAGTGAGACGGGAAGGGTGACCTGGTCCGGGTGCAGGCATGCGGAGGGTGAGCGAGCGGTGCTGGGGCAGGAGCTGCTCTGAGTTCGGAAGGGATGCAGGGGGGGATCAGAGAGGTGCTGGGGGCTGCTGGGCAGGTGAAGCAGGGGTGCACCAAGGCTGACATGCTCTCCTTTGCTTTTTGTTCCTCTTTCCCCCCCCAAAATCCTGCTCCACTCCAGAGCACCTGGAGAGTGTCCCGGGTCCCAGTGAGGTGCCCTGGATCCGCTTCGTCTTCAACCTCAGCAGCGTGCCAGAAAACGAGGTGATCTCGTCGGCGGAGCTGCGGCTGTACCGGGAGCAGGTGGAGGAGCCGAGTGCGGCGTGGGAGAGGGGCTTCCACCGGATAAACATTTACGAAGTGATGAAGCCGCTGTCGGAGCGCGCCCAGGCCATTACGCGCCTGTTGGACACGCGTCTGGTGCACCACAACGTGACGCGCTGGGAGACCTTTGATGTGAGCCCGGCCGTGATCCGGTGGACCAAGGACAAGCAGCCGAACCACGGGCTGGTGATCGAGGTGACCCACCTCCACCATGCACAGACTCATCAGGGCAAACACGTCAGGATTAGCCGATCTTTACCTCAAGGGCGCGGGGACTGGGCTCAGCTCAGGCCTCTCCTGGTCACTTTTGGGCACGATGGGCGAGGCCACGCGCTGACCCGCAGAGCCCGCCGCAGCCCCAAGCACCAGCGTTCCCGCAAGAACAAAAAAAACTGCCGCCGCCACGCGCTCTATGTGGATTTCAGCGATGTGGGTTGGAACGACTGGATCGTGGCCCCCCCGGGGTACCAGGCGTTTTACTGCCACGGGGACTGCCCCTTCCCTCTGGCCGACCACCTCAACTCCACCAACCACGCCATCGTGCAGACGCTGGTCAACTCCGTCAACTCCAGCATCCCCAAGGCCTGCTGCGTGCCCACGGAGCTGAGCGCCATCTCCATGCTCTACCTGGATGAGTATGACAAGGTGGTCCTGAAAAACTACCAGGAGATGGTGGTGGAGGGGTGCGGGTGCCGCTGACCCCCTTCCCCACCGCCCTCTCCTCCCCTTCTCTCTCCTTCCCGTCCCACCCCAGAACTGCTTGCTATAGCTGGACTTTTCTCTAAACTAAACGTTCACCTTGACCTTATTTATGACTTTATGTGCAAATGTTTTTGACAATAATGATCATATATTTTGACAAAATATATTTATAACTACATATTAAAAGAAAAAAATAAAATGAGTCATTATTTTAAAGGTAAACGCATTTTGTGTCTCACCTCTCAGGGTTCTGCTGAGCTGGGTGTGCAGCAGGGACTGTATCTTCTCTCCTTGTCATCTTGCCCCCACCTCACCCTGCTTTCCCCTTCTCCACCCTTTTCCCCCTTTAAAGCTTTTCAAATTTTAGTGTTTCTGTTTCTCGCAGAGGTACCGCGGATCCCCCTGGATTGGGGCTGCGACACGAGGGAGATGAGGGTCCCTGGAGATTAGGAGCTGCTTCTCCCGGCCGCTGGGAATAGAGCCGACCTTGCTAACCTGGCCCAAGCCTTTGCAAAGCAACCCACCCAAAATGCATTTGAAAAGAAGGGGAAGATTTACCTGAGGGCTTTATGCTAAACCCGCTGGGTTTTATACCCTGCGTCCATCTTCAGGATTCCCCGGGTTTTAAAACTATTTAACATTTCAACCCCCTCCTTTCTTCCCTCCACACTGGAGATTGGGAAGCTTCAAAGGTTTGCACGGGTCCTTTGAAGATCAAATCGCCCCATTACAATGCCAAAAAGAGAGAGGAGAAAAAGAAAGGTATCTGGAGCAGTTAAATATGTGTTAGCTAATAGCTACCTGTGCTGTGTGCTTTCCAAATTGCTTCCGAACAGGAAGGGGATCAGAGCTGAGCAGGTACAGTTGGAGGTATTGAGGGCCCGAAACCCCTGGCTCAAAAGCCTTGGATGGGCTCTGTTTGGCTTGGAAAACAGGGAGCTGTGCCGTGGGGCGGGAGCGGGAAGGGAGGGGAGCAGGGCAAGGGTGCATGGTGCAGTTTTCTTTCTTTTCCTTTAATGACTGAAGCTTTCCAACCCTCCAAAAGGGGCAGCTTAGTTGAAACCAATAAAAAACGGAGCGGAAAGCTTGCCAAAAGCCTTGGCTCCCTGAAGAGTGCAGGTGGAGAGAGGAGATGGGAGCCACGGGGGGAGGCGAGCACGGTCCTGCGTTTCTCTCTGAAACAAAAAAAAACCCCAACTCTCACCCTCTTCGGTGCCTGCGAGGCTTTCCCACCCCTCCTTCCCTCTGGGTACCAACCACAGCATCCCCTCTGCTGCTGGAGCCTCTTGGGGTGCCTCCTCTGTTTCTGGAGCCTCTTGGGGTGCCTCTGCCTCCCCCAGGTACTGCGGGGTCCCCCCAGCACCCCACGAGGCAGCAATGGACGTTTGCTGGGGTGACCGAGCATCCCCGGCGTTGCAGGGCTCTGCGAGGGGGTTCACTGGGTTGTGACAAACTGGTGGACTCACCCCACTGCTGGGGACCCCTGCGTGCGTGTGGGGGGCCGGGGTTGTTGCTGCGGGGGCCCCTCGCCCTGAGCTGACACTCTCATTCCTGCCTTTAGAAGGGAAATGCGTGGCCCGGGGCAGCGGTGACCTGCAGCCTCCCCTTTGATGCCTGCATATCAGACATAGCCGTGCCAGAGAAAGAATTTCATTTTGAAGTGGCATCAAGCTAGAGGCAAGCGCCTTTCAGCTGCCTGACAGGGCAATTACCCACATCTCCACTGATAACCCCAAAAGGGGGTCCCCAGGGCCTGCCCCCGGCTCTCGTGAGTGTGGGGCAGGGACTGTGAGAGGGTGCCTTGGAAAAAAAAAACAAAACCCAAACCCATCAAAAATCACTCTGTTTTTATTTATTTATTTTAAAGAAAAAAGTTAAGGAAAGGCTTCTCCCAGGTTTGCTTCCCCCGCTGGGGCATCCTGGGTTGTGCTGAAGGCTGGGAGGGTGTTGGGAAGCAGAGCAGCATGTACGCAAATCTTGGGGTTAGATCATTCTCCTCATAGGAGTCTGTAACCGCGTTGCTGTGTTCCTGCTGCTTTATGGATCTGTTTGTTTTGGTGCTTATTTTTGCATCGCGTTGAAATGATGAAATCAAAGCTTCAGCCCCGTGGAGGCACAGGCACTTGTTTTTTCTGTAGGTGCTGTGAGGGGAGAGGAGGTTGTCCTGATGTGTACGTTGTCTTTGGGAGATTTCCCTTTCCTTTGGGTTGGTGAGATCCTATGTGGGGTGTTCTGCTCAGAAACTGTAGGGGGAAAAAAAAGACACCAACTTTAAAAAATATTTAAAATTTGTGAATTTTGTAAGAATTTAAACTGTGGATATAAACCAGCTGACGGTAGAAGTTACAAAATCTTCATGGATGCATAAGGCAGTTTACTCAGTGGAGCACGCTTAAGCTTTTGCATTTAACCCAGAGCCCAGGGGCTGAGGGTTTCCCTCCCTGTGTGTGTACGTCCCATTGCCCTCCACGTCAATTTGCGACGGGTTTTGCTGTTGATAAACAGCAAAGGGGGAGAGGGGCTGCTTTTGGGAAGCTGCAGAGAGACCCAGGAATCCCCTGCAGCATTTCTGGCTGGTGTTTGGTGCATTTATTGCAGCAGTGGTGGGATTTAATCCTGCCTCTGGAATCGGTGCGGTGACTGGTCCTGTCTGCTTGCCCAGAACCCCAAGATGTGTGAGCCAGATGGTAGATGCTTGCCGCGATGTGACTTCATCTTTGTGATGGAAAAAAAAATACCTAAAAAGTACTGTCATGCTGAAATCTGTGTGGATATGGGAAATGTGGAGGGCATCTCAGCAGGGTTTCATGACCTCCTGTGGCTCCAGCTGAACTGGTGAGGGCCACTGGACGTTGTGCAATGACATGGGGTCAGGTGAGCTGGAAACGGGGTCCCAGGCTCTGCCATGTGTCAGGAGCTCCCCCCAGAGACCTGTGGTTACCCTGATCCCAACCCTGACCCCTCGTAGCATCCCAAGAGTCTTCTGGCAGAAATTTCTTCTCCCGGGTGAAAATTCACCCTCAAGTCAAAGCTTCCAGCATCGTTTTGAGAAAAGCTGCTGCCCTGGAGCTGCCGTAATTGAGGAGTGCCGCTCAGCCAGCCAGGCTTTGCTCGCAGCCACAGCTCGAGGCTTTGCAAATTAGTTTCTAAAATTGCAAATGGGTTTGGAAGAGAAGCACCGAGGTTTGCACGCTGCTATTCTGGGATGAACACAGTGGCTTTGCTACAGAGCCAGCAGAGGAAGACAGAGGCCCTTCTCGTTTTGACTGCAGTGCTTGGACACCTCTGGCAAACTCCTCACAATAACGGTTACAATAACAATTAGCACAGTGTAGCTGAGATGGCTTGGATAACTGCTGAATCTTGGCATCGAGAGATGCTTTGTTCTCTTTATTCTGGGGTTTCATCAAGCGTTAGCGGGTCTGACAGTCCTCCACTGGGCACAGGACCTTAGCAGGTATGAGGAGATGTCACTGCTCTCCCACAGGTAAGGATCTTGTGCCCAAGTCTTCTCATCACTCTGTGCCTGGTCAGGTATGGAGAGCAGGTGGAGCCAGAAGAGACTTCTGACCACAGGACCTAGACACAAAACACTGTTCTGGTCTTGAGTCTGTCCTGAAGATCCACCATTTAACCTTAAACCAGTGGT